CTTGGCTCTGGATTCCTTAGTGGAATGGGTAGGATCAAGCAAAGCTCCACTCATTCCCCTAGCTGGGCCTGGAATGGAGAGGACCATCTGGTTCTTGGATTTGGGTCAGTCCTTGTCCCAGTTTACCACCACACAGAAGCGAGGTGGCCTCCAGACTTGACTACCCCCAGAAGCACCGAAACTTAGCTTGGCTTCGCATATGTGCACGGTCTGAGTGCATGTGTGCATATGTATCAGTGTGCTCATGTCTGTGTGTGTCCGTGTGTCTGTGTATCTGTGAGCATGCATGTGTGTGCATGTCTTTGCATGCATGCATCTGTACTTGTGCACCATCCCTGAGGCCACGGCCTGAGTATTTGCATTCCACCAGGCCTGGCACAAAGATGTTCCTACTAGCCGGAGCGATCCCATTTGCTCCCTAAGATTCTTGAGCATCACCTTTTTTGAGGAGGCCCTGTGGGATGAGGGTGGGTGAACTGGTGCAGGTGAAGCACCCCATTTTTGCTTCTGCTCTCAAAACTGCCAAGGAAGAATAAACAGGGCCTCATGGAGACACAGCTGACCCCGGGGCAGCGACCCCCACGTGGCCATCCAGGCTCACATTCTGCTACTTCAGCGTCACCCACCCGGACAGAAAAAGCAGCAGGAAGACTTGTTTGACATTTATTCCCAGGTTTTTTTTTCATTTCCTCTGAAATGAATATGAATCCACACTGGTCTTTACACTCCACAGGAGCTAATCCACCCCCTCCTGGAAGCTTGGAGGGGGTGGGGGGGCTCATTCCTTCTTGCGGATACCATCTGTCGACACAGGCCTTCCCGCGGCCGTTCCTGAAAGGCCCATGGTGGACAGAGAGGCTCGCTCTTCAAGGCTCGATTACATTCAGAGTGAGGCCTTTTAAAAAGAAAATACCCCAGGAATTGCTTCCAGAGTCCAAATGCCTGCGTGGACGGCTGGCTCCTCTGTGAGCACCGGCGCCTGTCAATGCCTGCGCGGGTGGGGAGAGCGGCCCCCACAGCTTTGGGGGCACTGCTGGAGAAAGGGAGGGGAGCACTGGAGCCTGACCCCACCAAACACGCGCAATGGGAAATGGGGACTTTTTTTTCACGTTGAAAGAGCCATGGGAAGAAAGCAGTGTTTTTATAAAGGAAAATGCTTAATAAGTATTATTCACTAAGCAAAATCACATTTTCAATTCCTGTTTTGGCCCATGGATCCATTTCATGAACAAGATGGGGCAGGGGGCGGGGGGGGGGGGGGGCGGAATCAGGCTAAGTCGCTGAATGCTGCCTCATAATGGCAGTGAAATCCTCTCTAGGAACATTCATTAACTGCTTGTTGTGTGTAGAACACTGTAAGGTGGCTCGAAGGAGGCCTTTGAGCTCATCAGTCTGGCCTGGGAAAGCTTCCTCATAAGGGAACTGAAGTTGTCTGGTGGTCAGCAGAGAGGGCTAAAACTTATTGAAGGATCACCAATCCAGTGGAGATGACTTAAGTTCCTCAGGGCCGTTGGGAGGCTATCTGTTCAATATATAACCTACCCAAGCCATTTTACTTATAGGAGTTTTCAAATCACAGTGTTTTCCTGGCACTGCATAAGGAAATCTCTTGGTAAAGCATTGCCAGAGTCTCTCTGTGAATCATGTCAAAGGAGAATTCATCTTAGAATTAGTGTCAACGTGATCTATCTCCCCCATGCTGTCTGATGAAGCTTTCTGCTGGGTTCTTGGGTGGCCGGTCATCTGACAGATATATGATTTTGTGATGGGAACTAAAATAAAATTCCTATAATACCCTTGGGGTGATGAGGTGGATTTTCACTGTTGAGCATTTCAGTCAATGACTTAATTCCCTGAAAACTTCCCTCAACCCTCATTTAGAGTGCCCTGAACTCAACCCAAGAAGTCTGCTGAATTTATCCACATTGCTACAAACTTCTATGCAAAAATCTTTTCTCCTAAGGATTTCAGGTGTTAAATGTGCTGGGAGAGTTTATTTGGTTCACTAATGAGCAGCTTCATAAAAAGGCTTAAGGTTGGACTGTGCATGCCTACTGGACAAAGAACTGCAAATCAAAGTCTCTGGGTATTTCCAGAATGTATACTTTTCCATGGCACGGGGAGCTAGATCTGAAGACCAGAGAACCCAATGTCAGTGCTTCACACCCTTCCCCATTGTATATGCCACATAAGACACTCCCACTCCCCATTCTTCCAGCCCAGGTCCCTAGATCCCTCTCCTCCCAATGGCATCATGAGGTAGAAGCAATGCTTTGGCTCTCCATCCCAGCCATCCATGCCATGTCTGACGAATGTCCTCTCTAAGCAGCAGCCTATGGTTTCTGTTTCTCATAACTGAGTGCATGACCATTCCATCCTTGCAGTGCCTCTGATAAAGGCTTTGAAGTTAACCTGGATGTCATGCTCCTTCCTACAATGTCCAGTATGTCAACATATGCCCTTGGCTTTAATTTCTGAAGAGATCCAGAATCTAGCCACTTTTTAGGACTTCTGCCACATCTACACTGGTCCAAACGACCATCTCCTGTCCCTTCAGTTCCAGCAAGAGGCTCCAAATGAACAAGCTCCCCTTCCTGTTTAGTCCCCTTCATCAGCCAGGTTCAATTCTCCCTCTGACAACTTCAGTCAAATCCTATTGCTCTTCTCTGAAACTCAGGAAGGAGCCCTTTTGTCTGGCCCACATAGAGTAAATGCCAAAGCACTGATGGTGGCCTCCTAGGCCCTAGAAAATCGCAATCCCTCGAGATGTAAGTTACTTCCCACCCCTCTCCCATCTCTTTCATGCCAACTTCCATGTTGATTTTCCAACAGGCTGGAAACATCCCCATCTTGGGGCCTTTACATGTTCAATCTGGCTACCTGGAAAGACCATTCTTCCAAAACAATGCCTGTCCTGTCCCTTTACTAAACTTCACAAATCATTGCCAACTCCTGGCTCCTTCCTCTCCTTTGTTATCTCTGCAACTCTTTCCACAATGGGCTCACTCACTTGTTAATAATCTATCTTCTCCACTAGAATGCAAAAACCAAGGAAATGTTTTTTTTTTTCCTGCTTTGGCTATGGCTATATTTGCAGCACTAAAAGATAGTGACTAAGACTTATAGGTGTTCAATAAATACCTGAGCAACAAATAAAAGTTTGAACCATGTGCTATGTCATTTTATATCACTATATTTTGGTATGCTTCCCCCTCCCACACCAAAGACTTGCCTAAATAATGCCTTCAGAGTCTGCGGCAGGTATAGTAAAGAGATAGAAGACATTTTCAGAGTTTGTGTAAATCTGGTTCCATACTATGTCACAACTCTAAATGCAGAGCCAGGCTCATGTCTGCAAACAGGGATGTAGATATTGATGTGTTTCTACCTGGGACTTAGGTCTGATTTTAGGGGAGGTAGGATGTGGGCTCTTTCAGGAAGCCCATCTTTACAGCCTCATTGCCTCTGAACCCTGCTGAATTCTCACACACCAACCAGACTTTCTCCTTTGAAAACAATACTCTTTCAAAGAGGATATCTCTGCAGGAATGTGTCTTTCCAATAGGAAGTAAGAGGTACCAGTCCAGATTCACGAAATATTTTTGTTTGGGGGAGCCCATACCTATTGGTGCTCGGCTGCAATGCCTGGCTCTGTGCTCAGGAGTAATCCCTGGCGGTACTTAGGGAGACTATATGTGGTGCTAAGAATTTGAACAAAGTCAGCCACATGCAAGGCTTCACTCCTGTATAATCTCTTCATCCCAAGTCACTTTCTGATTTTATATATCTTGTTTACAAGTAAAGACAATGTGAAGAGAAAATTATCTGATCATTATTTTGCTCAATATAATAAGCTTTCTTTAGAGAGAGAGAGAGAGGTGTGTGCATATGCGTGTAAGAGAAAGGGAGGGAGAGGCAGAGAGTGAGAGAGAGGGAGAACAAGTACTAATTCAAAATGAGGTTTCTTATATACGTATAGAGAATCTATTTTTTCTCTTCCTATTGAATGACATCAATTTTTCAGTTCAGACAAGTCTATCTCAAATAGCATTATTGAAACCACTATTTTTCACTGAAATTCCTCCTAATTACCTAATCATGCCCCAAACACCAACCATCACCTTATGATATCTCCAAAGAATTGATAAAAACAAAAATATAAAGTTTATGTACAAATTGCAGCAAATCTGCACTTTCCTGGAAGTTGGATTTTTAAAAAAAGATAATAATGATTAGGACTGAAGAGAGAAGAAAATTGCAAATTCATTTTGGACTAGAAAACAAGAAAAAAATTCCTCAGTCATGACTATAATTTTTACTACCATTTTGCATTCCATTGACTACCTTGACAGAGTAGGGGAGTCTTTGTTTCTGCCAAAGGTCATTTGGATATTTATGCCATACAATGTAGGCATATGGGCTATGGGCAGCTGGTGAGAAGTATCCTCATCATGCACTGGGGGCCAGATCCCAGGATTTCATGGCCCTTTATACAACCAGCAGGTTGGAGGTTCCCCTCCCCTACTTTGGGAGAAGGACGCCAGGATGCACTTGACAGATGTCACTTGGATTTTAAAGACCTTGCTTACTTCTGGTTTCATCTGTGCACAGCGTGAGCTTTTTGGCTAGACTGTAGATCCTTTCAATGCATAGTCACCCCGTGGGCTGCTCTGGGGAGCCCAGGAGGTGACAGGAAGGGAACCATATGCACAGCAAGTGCTCAAGACATAACACCCATTTCAACGTGCAAGGCAGAGATGACTGAAAATGTGGGCAGAAGTTCTGACTTTCTGAACAGGCCAAGAATAACTGGGCTGGACAAGCTACTGGCCCCATGTCCAAAGCAAAGGATGAACAAGGCAAAGAAAATGAGGGAGCAGACAGGCATTTGCAGCATGCCCCTGAGTGAGCCCCTTTCTAGAGTCCCTCCACACATCTTTAAAAATGTCAGTAAGCTTTGAAACAGGCTTTACATATGCAGAGCTAAAATAAAGTCTTACAGTTTTCATCCTGGGCAATGCATTGTAAGGGTATCCCAAAGAAAGACGTATAGCTGTCATTGTACCACACCAGTAGTTCGGTGCCCCTGGGGATATCTATACAGGCTCGGTAGAATATATTCGACCTATTCAAAACAAAAGAAAACCCAGCTTAGTCATCATCGGTAGGACTCATGTGCCCCCAGCCACATTTTTTTTATCACTACCCACCCATCCACCCAAAAGAAGTTCTGCCCAGTTCTACCTGATTAGTTTCTGATTGCAATCAAGTCTTACCATTTCCAGCCACCAATGAGAGCCTATAACCCAGCAGTTTATTTCCAATGGCCTTTCTTCTACTGACTGGGAAGAAGACAGGCATTTTGGCCCCAGGGATGACAGAAAGGAAGAATCGATTTAAAAAAAAATTCCATCTCTCTAACATGAATGAGAAAATTCTTTTTCTTGGTAAATCGTGACCACAAAGGGCAGAGGAAGGGGGGTGTCTCCAGTCTCCACCCCATATGTAAATGTGTATTAGTGATTTCTTATTCAAAGGATAGCAAGGCATGTATTCTTGAAACCATGGAGATGGTCCTCGAATTTGTACAAAAAGTAAACAATTTTGTAATAGAAGCACCAAAGCTGTGTGTGGGGGGGTGGGGGGCAGGGGGAATCCTTCTCATTGACTTGTTCTTTTTTTTCCATGTTTGTTCTGTGGCCACACTTCAGGGTTTACTCCTTGCTCTATGCTCAGGGGTCACTCCTGGCAGTGCCAGGGTTAAGCAGGGGTCAGCTGCCTGAAAGGCAATTTGCACTCTCTCTCCAGCATCCCTTGTGCTCTAGAAAGAGTTGTCTCCTCTGTGAAAGCGGATGAAAAATCAACCAATATGAGAAGGGCACTTTACTCTTGCTGAAAGAGCACACTCAGAAATAACAGAGCAAGGATCCTGAGAAATAAACACATTTTTATAACAACACTGATACTGCAAAGAAATAACTATAGATTTCAAATTTTATACATATATATAAAGAGGAGCTGGCCACCAGTTTTCTCAATGAAGAATGGCTACAAATATTTGTCTCAAGCTTCAGATCAAGGTGTTTAGGGTTGGTGGGCCTTAAATCCTGCTTCTCTGTGAGGAATGGGCCACAGCCAGGCAATTTGCTCCTTGTAGAACACTGCAGACGCGCCGCGAATGCGCCGCCACATTTTTCACGGCGCTGAGATATGCACTTGTCAACATATTTCGTCACCGCAAAGTGGCTCTTGGCAACAGGATCATAAAGATCAATAAAAAAGTGCAGATTCTCAATATTTTACTTGCAGCTGCAAAAATTTCATTTATCTTGTTATTTTTCCTTCCTTGCTGCCATTCCGTCTCATGAGGGCACTGCTAGCTAAGCAGAATGCTTTTTCCTCCTCCTCCCACCCCAACTCCTGACATTCTATGAATATCTGACAAAAACTATAGCCCATGGGCCGAACTTCCCCACCCTTCCTCTCTCAGCTCCTCCAAGAGAGATGCATTTTATTAATTCTTTCCACTGCTACATAAAAAAGGGGGGGGGGGTGTCCAAATTGGAGCCGGGCTATAAATCACTGGCATCTCCTAAGTTGAGAAAAATTGAGTCTACTTTGTACTTCACCCTTGTAACATTTCATCTCTCGGTTTGGCTTCCCTTAACATAAACACAGCGCCCAGCAAATGAATGTGCTAAACCCAAATGACACGCTTTGCCGCTGAAAGAGCAGGACTGTTTTCGAGCCATGGGTGGTCTGCCGAGGCACCCAGTGGGCCGAGAGGAGGGGGGGGGAATGTGTAAGCGAACACCGTTCCTTACAAGCGGGCAGGGCTTCCAAAACTCGCAGCAATCTCTGCATGTTGAAGCACATCAAAGGGATTTTTCCCTTTTCAGATAATATTTCCTTTGCTGACATGTATTTAGCATTGTGGTCGGATGACTCATAAAGATAGCTCCGTGGCGTCCCAACGCAGTTGAAGCGGAGCACGGGCCAACAAACATTATTGTCAGCCTCAAAATAAAAACAAAACGTTCAGCGCAGGGTCAATCAATCAAGGGCGCTTTGAAGAAAATTCCATTTAGATATTACAAATCATAACAGAATGAATCTAAACCAGCTGACTTTCTGTGAAGAGGACATCCATGTACAATAAAAATTAGGCTGGCTCTTTGGGGTCCAACTTTTCTATTTTCTTACTCTTGGACGTGGTCACGGGGCAGAGGGAGGTGGTGTGGGGGGAGGAGGGTAGATGCCAGTTTTTTTTAAATTGTGTTTCTTTAGTTCCTTTCAGAAAAATCTGAAATAATCAAAAACAGGGCAGGAGAGGAAACAAAGTGCCGGCTTGAGGCATGAGCTCTCCACCACTGCAAGTTGACCGGGAGGTAAGGAAGAACTAACTTCTGCCCACCTCTCCTTTCAGGGGGTGCTGGTCAGAATTCCCCTCCAGAGCTCCCAGGGTGCACCTGGCAAGACTAACCCAATGAGCTCTTGCCGAAGGAACCGGCACAATCCTCACTGATTCTCACTCAGCATTTTGGAAAAACTTGGGGGAAATGTGAGCATCGTGAGTGAGGCTGGTGCTGGGCAGATGCATCCCAGGCCTCTGAGCATGGAGTCACTGAAATGCTAGTGAATAGAAGCTAACTGCAGGGGGAAGCACAGCAGCGAGCAGGGCCGCCCAGAGAGGTTTCCTGAGAATCAGAGACCTTCCGAGAGCGAGCCAGGCTTGCATGGCCTTTCACCTAGAGGGGGGAAGAAAGCTTTATTTATTTTAAGGCTTCATTTTTTCAAAAAAAACCCCAAAATATATATATATAATAATACAGGAAAGGAAAACAAATAGCTGTAGGCAGGACTCCAAGTGGCCGAGCCCAGGGCTCTGTGCTTTGATGTGTCTGTGGAGCCTAATAAAGCTAAACAGTTGCTTCTGATTCTAAAGGGAACAAGGCTGTTTATAACTGAGGTCATATATTTATGCGGCACATGTTTTCGAGGGATTCTGAGCAAAGCAGGCCAACAGCACAGACTTTTTTTCCCCCTTTCTGCTGTAATTTGTCAGGTCCCTCTGGCTGTACCCAACATCCTAGAGCTGGGGGTAGAAAAGCACAAATGCAACCAACAGGTGCTCAGAAAGGTGTGGCATGACCTTGGCTCCTCAGAGCTCCCACCCCCCACCACGGGGAAACTCTGGGACATGGGGGTGGGGGTGGGGATCCACCTTGGCTTGGTGAGTTACCTTTGGGGCTTTGCCCAAACATCTCAGGAGACCAGGGGCTTCTCGGTGCTCTGGAACCTCCTCATCACCTGAAACATAGTCTGATTTGTCCAAAGCCAAGCATGGTGGCACCTTCCAGGGGCGCAGGAGGTGATACAGGGCTCTGCCGCTATGGCTGAGCATGACGAGGGAAGGCAGAAGACTTGGTTTCCCGATGCCACCCAGGAGAGGTGCCTTCAGGTGGCAGATGGCCAGTGATCTGGGACAAACTCCTCTTTCTGTGGGTGCACACAATGCTGGGAGGGCCGGGGTTCACCCCAAGCCCAGTGGCTTGTTGGGTTCCCTCAAGACATGGCTGTAGTCCAGGCAATGAACTCAAACAGATGCATGGAAAAGGCCCTGGTAGCAAATTTGCTCCTGAAGCCTCATGAAATGACTGTTGCAAGAGCTAAGGAGGTTTCAAGAACCCACTGGACACAAAAGGTCTGCCCAACTGGGTACAGGTCTGTAGGAGCCATTCGAGGCGAGAGCAGGAGGCCTGAATATATACCCGCAAGCCCACGGCTTCAGCTCTCGAAGTGGTCAATCAAGATATACTTTACCTGTACTGAACGACTGTTAGATTCTGTTCTCCACAGTGCCTTGCACATCGGATATACCTCATCCAGCTTGACTTACTAGGTTCCCCACCATCAATAAAGTGCTGTAGTGTCCCATCTTGGTCATATATCTAGAGGAGAAGTCAGAAGGTCAAGTAGTTAGAACAAATCATCAGCAATCATTTTCCCTGCTTCCCGGGGTGTCTCTCCGTGCTGGCTGTGGAAATTTATTGCCCTCGAGTTTACCGTGAGGGCTCTCTGATGCCGGTGGCCACGCCACGGGCACCACAGGCGAATATTTTGGGGTGGTGCAAGTCCATCACATTTTTCTTATCAAGCCCATCTTCTCCACATGAAACATATTTGTGGTATCTCAAGGATGTGAGGGACCCTGTTTCCCAAAGAATATTTAACCTATTTTGACAGGCGACTCTTAAGTAATGAGCTGCTGGATAAACAAAGCAAGCTGACGGGAGAGGCCATGCTGACGTGGCTGGACAGCCACGGGAGAGGCGCCCGATCTCAAACACTGGGAGGCATTCGGGAGGTGGTCACTGGCTAGCCCACAGACTGGGGGCAGCCCAAGAAAAAAGGAGCTCAAGAGAACCGGCCAGCCAGGCTCAGACTCTGGTAAACGTCCTCTCCCTGCGCCTGTGAGATGGCAATTCTGCTGTCAGGATCTGGAACTAGAAGGAAAGTCATCAAACACGAAATACCTTCAAAAAGAAGGAAGAAAAAAAAATACTCATTGCTTCCGATGAGTTTCCCATGTCTGAGCTGAGGCAGGACAAATAAGAATGGCCCCAGCTCATCTCACCCAGAGTTTTTTTTCTTTTTTTTTTTTTAATTTTTATTAGTGAATCACCATGAGGTACAGCTGTAAACTTACAAATTTTTGTGCTCGGGTTTCAGTTATACAATGATCCAGTACCAATCCCCCTACCAGTGCCCATTCTCCATCATTTACATTTTTTAAAAAATTTTTTGTTAGTGAAACACCATGAGGTACAGTTGTAGATTTGTACAATTGAAACCCACAGATCAGATCACAGATCATCCTGTTATTCGTCGATTGCCTCGAGCAGGCCCCAGTAACATCTCCTTCATCCTAGCCCTGAGATTATATTCAAGGCTCTTTAGGAGAATGAGACCCATCATTGTTACTGGTATTTGGCATATTGGGTATGCCACGGGGAGTTTGCCAGATTCTGCCATGTGGGCAGGCTACATTCGGTAGCCTGCCAGTTTGTCCAAATGTATTTTGGACAAACAATTGAAACCCAAGCACAAAAATTTGTAAACCCAGAGTTTCTTTTAAGGAAATGAACTCCACTTCAAAACAGGCAGGAAGCATGGGACTGAAGAAGCCTGAGACAGGGCAATGAATACAGAGCCCTCACTCCTCAGGACATGGACCGTGCAAAGCAATATGGAGGGGCATCAGGGACAGCAGGACAATTGCACCTTTTTCCCATAAAATCAGGCTTGGGGGTCTGAACAGCCGCTGAGACATGCATAGAGCATCCTGGAAAATCCAGTCCACTGACTTCACCTTTTCCTTTCCAATCAAACATACAAACTATCATTTTCTGACAGTCTTGTGGGTTTGGGTTTGAGTTCCTTTAGTCGCTGAAAGGACCATGGTTATTCACATTAATTTAGCTCAGTATTTCTATACAAGACCAAATGGCATAGGGATGAGATTCTTCTTTATTATCTTCAGTCATCTGAAACCAGATGATTTTATTTTCTTTTCTGACACTCCACTCCACTTCCCCACTTTCCCCACCCCCAACCTCCCCCCTGACCCCTACAAATAAAAGACAGACATCAATCTCATGGAGGCAACTGTTGGGGAGCTTATGACAGGCTGACATGCCAGAGTGATTATAGCCGATAATCAATGTAACCTGACAAGAAGAAAGGTGAGTCCTGAACTACATTACACTTATGACTGGAGACTTGTTTAGATTTCCAGTTTGGACACAACAACAGAGGACTGAAACATTTTATGTGGTGGACACACCTGCTATGTAAGCTTTCAAATGACTGATACCTATTGGTGTTACATTCCCCTACCTAAAACAGAGGACTCCAATCTTTGTAAGAACCAATCTGATTCAAAGACTCAAAGATCTCAACTCTGATCCCTGATCGGCTATGACAATGCTGCTAAAGTCAACCATCTCTAACCTGTGGGTTTATCTGCCATTGAGATATAGAAAAGGGGTAACAGGTCCTGTCCTTCTCACAGGAACAGAGCTTTCCTGAGGGGTACTAGTGAAAAGAATTAAGAAGCATTTGGCAAAGTGCCATTAACCAGTGTCCTCAACAGCAAAGAGCTTGCTTTTCTCTGCATCAAGAGCTTTCAGAGTGTGAGCCCGTCTGAACATCAGCCACAGCCCATCAGTCCTGGAAACGAGTAGAAAAAGGATTTCCTCTTATACTCCTGTTCTCTAGCAACCTTGTTTTAGAAACCATCTCTTAAGGATGTTATAGCAACAGGGGCTGCAAGTCATTTTTGCCCATCTGATCAAACAGCTGCTAACCTCGAGGAAATAAGTGGATATGACCTGTCAGACTTCTTTCGGCTGTCTTCAAGGAAGCACATGGCAGGGAGCTGCACCTCCCTGACTCAGGGAAGGCTGTCCCTGCACAATTACATACACAACTGTGGAGTAAAACCACATGCCAACTAAGATCCCAGAGCTGCATGCCCGGTGATGTGAACAATCATTCAAGCTCAATGCCATTCTCAGCCTCAGTTCTCAGAACCTAGAATCCAGCTGAACCTGCCTTCCAAATACCATCCATGTGCATCCATATCTCCTGCATACTATACCCATTGGAGCCCCACAGCCTTTTTCCTCTCTGACAATAATGCAGAAGCCTCTGTTCGTCTCCCTGTAGCTGCTTCATGCCCTCCATACCTCTTCTCTGCATCTCCAGGGAGCAGTATGAACACAATCTGAGTCTCTTACCCCTCCACTGGAAAAAAAACAGCATCACAAATGTTGCCATGACAATACATATTCACAGCACCTTCCAGAAGGCTCAACACATGAAGCCAGCCCGGCCAGCACCTCCTACCCACAGGGAGGCTGAACCTTGGGAGCCTTTGCCTCAAGCCTGTGGCAATTCAGAGGGTGTTCTGGTCTGAGCTAAGCCCTCATAACATTCAGTGGCAGACCACAAACCTCAGTGGGAGAGGCTCCGGTTCCATCCCAGCACAAGAAGAAGAAATAGTTAAGACTTAACAAAACAGGGGTCAGAGAGATAATACAATGGGTAGGGCACTTGCCTTGCACACAGTCGCCTGTTCGATTTCTGGCTTCCCATATGATTCCTCCAGCCAGGAGTGATTCCTTGAGTGCAGAGTCAGGACCAAAGCCCGAGAACCTCCAGGTGTGCCCCTGACCCCCAGCCACTCCCCTCCCAAAAAAAAAGACTTAAAAAAATCACACTTAAACCTGGGATTTCTGGGACAGAGAGATAATACAGTAGGGAGGACACTTGCTTTGCACACATCTGACTGGGTTTGATACCGTCCCCTCATATAGTACCCCGAGCTCATCAGGAGTGATCCCTGAGCATAAAGCCAGGAGTAAGTACTGAGCACTGCCAGGTATGACCCAGAAAACAAACAAACAAATAAATAAATCCAGGGTTTCAAGTAGGAGAACAGTATAGGGATGGGGGACATAGTACAGCAGGTCAGGTACTTGTCTTGCACGTGGCCATCTCTGATTTGATATACAGTACTGCATATGGTGCCCTGAGCCCTACCAGTTGTGATTCCTGAGCAGAACCAGAAGTCAGTCCTAAGCATTGTTGGGTGAGGTCAAAGCTCTATTACTCACTCACCCCCATGCCTCTAATGAGCCAACAAAGCAGCAGAAGGCCTCAATGTCTATTTCTGCTCACTCCTCTGGACAAAGTGGAAATATCACCTCCAGGGTTGGATCACCTCCTTCCCATACTGGGGTGACTTGGAGAAGTGGTACCAACTTGGGGGCAGTGAGTGTGCTTGGTGCTTTCTCTTTTTTGCTTAAAGAAGGTAGATTTCCAGGTGGGTGAGTAATTTTTAATTTCATGTAAAGGGGGTGGTAGGTCAAATAAATTGGGAAACTCAGTTCTAAGAAGGAAAATAAAATGTGTGGAAAGGGTACACAAATCTAAGCGCTCAATAGAAAGTAAGAAACCCATGAGATAGTTCTAGGAAGTTCTACCCCTACCCTCCACATGAACTCAACTATGCTTTCAGTGAAGTGCTCGGGGCAGGGAAAAAAAAAGAAAGCTGTGATACTCTATGTTTAATTGAATCCAATCCAAGCACAAGACCCTACCCTCATCAGTATGAAAATTGAACAATCTCCAATCTGGAGCCACGGCAACAATTTCAAACTCAGGCAGCTGATCCTGGAGGTTGCCTTACTATCCACAGCAGAGTGATGCTAAAACAGAATTTTAAGTTGGATACCTAAGAGGCCTCATAAAAATTTGAGGAATGTAAGAAAATGAATTCCTGCCAGAGCCAAGACTTATTTTGTTTCCGTTACCTTTCGAAGGGTTTTTTAAAAGCAGAAAAATATTGAAAGTCACGCCCAGAGTGTTTATACAACCTCCGCCAGACTTAGGAAAATGTTGAAAAGGTGAGAAGTTGTGTTCGTTCAAATTGTAAGAATGACAGCAAGAGAGAAAAATTTAAATGGATGGCTTCCAAAAGAACACTTAAAGAGCAGCAATGGTTTGTTGAAAATAGTGTCTTCCCCCCCACCCCCCGAATCAACATGAACAAAAAACTTTTAATATTTGCTCTGTTCTGTCTAAGGAAGACAAACAAATGAATCTCTGGAGGGAGAGTAATGTAAGTAAAGAAACACAGAGGACATCAGGAGGGAAGGGGGTTACATTTCCCTGAAGTTTGTGTGGGGGAACCCTCAGACCCACTGAAAGCAGATCTGGCACAGTTCTTCCAGAAAGTGTGTCTGAGCACTGCTAAAACAGCTGCCTTGGAGAAAAGTTTGGCAATGCGGAAATCAGGTAGGCAATGCCTACATCCTCCTACCCAGCAATTTAACTTCTAGGGAATCACCTTATGTGAAGCTGACACAAGTGCCTGAAAAGTACA